TTCAAACCCGGGTCATTTGGGGAGTCCTCATGTCTCAGGCATGGTTATCCATTATCAGGTGAATGTGGTTTCATAAATCCTCTGTTACACAGGCTGCACTCTTAGAAAAAAAGTTGCTAAGTAGAACCATACAGGGTCTTCGGTTTGTCCCAAAAGGGGAACACTTAATGGTCGGGGGTAGAACCCTTTGCAGAGGGTTCTATCTAGAACCCTCTATGTAAGGTTCTTCATAGAACCCCATGTATATGGTTCTACCTAGAACCCTCTATGAAGGGTTCTACCAAGAACCATTTTATCTTTGGAGGGTTCTTCCTAGAACCCTCTATGAACAGTTTCACCAACCTTATCATCCTTTAAAATGTAATTATGTATGACAATACATGACATATATCATAAGGCCTTTCTTTGAGGGCCTAGTTCTACCCTAACACAGTGGTGTTCGGAAACTCCTGGTTTACAGGCCACATCAGACCTGCAAGCCACATTATGTTGGCTTGCAAAGTGATGTGAATTCCTATTGGAATTCAGCCAGAGTTAGGATATCCAACTAGTGGAATCGTTAATCACCCGCAACCTGCATTCAGAATGACTGCCAGGGTAGGGAAGATTGAATACTGAGACTACCTCAATCATCTAAATTGGAACAACCATCTCAGTAATGGGTGCAGTAAATTCAACTAGTAACAGATTGGATTAGTTTAGAAAACGGTGTGTTATTTATCTCTGTGTAGCATTAAATTAATCAACCAATCAATGTACATGCAAAAACACAGATATTACAGTAAAACAAACAATTCGGAAAATCTCCCTGCAATAGAGAATGCTTGAAGGGTTCTATGTAGAACCCTTCTTGCCTTCCAAAGAATCATCAAAGAACCCTTTCTTCCAAAAGGGGTTCTTAGGATATTAAAGGTTTTAAGTAGAACCCTTTCAAAACGGTTCTTGGTAGAACCCTATCCCTCCATAAAAAGCCCTTTTGGAAGCCTTTTTTCCAAGTGTGTGTAACAAGAATGATAGGGGAGGAGCCACTATAGGGTAGTGTAGGGGAGGAGCCATTAGACAGACAGCCACTACAGGGTAGTGTAGGGGAGGAGCCATTAGACAGACAGCCACTAGAGGGTAGTGTAGGGGAGGAGCCATTAGACAGACAGCCACTAGAGGGTAGTGTAGCTGTGTCTGTTAGCTCAAGCTAAGACACCTGTTTGATGAACACCAGTATTCACATGTACAACTGAGAGAGAAAAGTCCTCTAAACAGGAAAACATGACAACGGTTATATCTTCATTCAACAGAACCTGCTGGTACAGTATGGGAAGGTGTGTGTGTGTGTGAGTGTGTGTGTGTGTGTGTGTGTGTGTGTGTGTGTGAGTGTGTGTGTGTATGTGTGTATGTGTGGTCTTGTGTGTGTGTGAGTGTGTGTGTGTGTGTGTGTATGTGTGGTCTTGTGTGTGTATATGCGTGTTTGTGAGTTTGTGCGTATATGCGTGAGTTTGTGTGTGTGTGTGTGTGTGTGTGTATCCTCTCTACTTACTCTCCACAGTCAGTATGATAGGCTGGCTGGTTTTGTTCTCTCTACTTACTCTCCACAGTCAGTATGATAGGCTGGCTGGTTTTGTTCTCTCTACTTACTCTCCACAGTCAGTATGATAGGCTGGCTGGTTTTGTTCTCTCTACTTACTCTCCACAGTCAGTATGATAGGCTGGCTGGTTTTGTTCTCTCTACTTACTCTCCACAGTCAGTATGATAGGCTGGCTGGTTTTGTTCTCTCTACTTACTCTCCACAGTCAGTATGATAGGCTGGCTGGTTTGTTTCTCTACTTACTCTCCACAGTCAGTATGAGAGGCTGGGCTGGTTTGGTTCTCTCTACTTACTCTCCACAGTCAGTATGAGAGGCTGGCTGGTTTTGTTTCTCTCTACTTACTCTCCACAGTCAGTATGATAGGCTGGCTGGTTTTGTTTCTCTCTACTTACTCCTCCACAGTCAGTATGAGAGGCTGGCTGGTTTTTGTTCTCTCTACTTACTCTCCACAGTCAGTATGATAGGCTGGCTGGTTTTGTTCTCTCTACTTACTCTCCACAGTCAGTATGATAGGCTGGCTGGTTTTGTCTCTCTCTACTTACTCTCCACAGTCAGTATGATAGGCTGGCTGGTTTTGTTCTCTCTACTTACTCTCCACAGTCAGTATGATAGGCTGGCTGGTTTTGTTCTCTCTACTTACTCTCCACAGTCAGTATGATAGGCTGGCTGGTTTTGTTCTCTCTACTTACTCTCCACAGTCAGTATGATAGGCTGGCTGGTTTTGTTCTCTCTACTTACTCTCCACAGTCAGTATGATAGGCTGGCTGGTTTGTTCTCTCTACTTACTCTCCACAGTCAGTATGAGAGGATGGCTGCTTTGTTCTCTCTACTTACTCTCCACAGTCAGTATGAGAGGCTGGCTGGTTTTGTTCTCTCTACTTACTCTCCACAGTCAGTATGATAGGCTGGCTGGTTTTGTTCTCTCTACTTACTCTCCACAGTCAGTATGAGAGGCTGGCTGGTTTTGTTCTCTCTACTTACTCTCCACAGTCAGTATGAGAGGCTGGCTGGTTTTGTTCTCTCTACTTACTCTCCACAGTCAGTATGAGAGGCTGGCTGGTTTTGTTCTCTCTACTTAATCTCCACAGTCAGTATGAGAGACTGGCTGGTTTTGTTCTCTCTACTTACTCTCCACAGTCAGTATGAGAGGCTGGCTGGTTTTGTTCTCTCTACTTACTCTCCACAGTCAGTATGATAGGCTGGCTGGTTTTGTTCTCTCTACTTACTCTCCACAGTCAGTATGATAGGCTGGCTGGTTTTGTTCTCTCTACTTACTCTCCACAGTCAGTATGATAGGCTGGCTGGTTTTGTTCTCTCTACTTACTCTCCACAGTCAGTATGAGAGGCTGGCTGGTTTTGTTCTCTCTACTTACTCTCCACAGTCAGTATGCGAGGCTGGCTGGTTTTGTTCTCTCTACTTACTCTCCACAGTCAGTATGATAGGCTGGCTGTTTTTGTTCTCTCTACTTACTCTCCACAGTCAGTATGATAGGCTGGCTGGTTTTGTTCTCTCTACTTACTCTCCACAGTCAGTATGATAGGCTGGCTGGTTTTGTTCTCATACTTACTATCCACAGTCAGTATGATAGGCTGGCTGGTTTTGTTCTCTCTACTCACTCTCCACAGTCAGTATGATAGGCTGGCTGGTTTTGTTCTCTCTACTTACTCTCCACAGTCAGTATGATAGGCTGGCTGGTTTTATTCTCTCTACTTACTCTCCACAGTCAGTATGAGAGGCTGGCTGGTTTTGTTCTCTCTACTTACTCTCCACAGTCAGTATGATAGGCTGGCTGGTTTTATTCTCTCTACTTACTCTCCACAGTCAGTATGATAGGCTGGCTGGTTTTTTTCTCTCTACTTACTCTCCACAGTCAGTATGATAGGCTGGCTGGTTTTGTTCTCTCTACTTACTCTCCACAGTCAGTATGATAGGCTGGCTGGTTTTGTTCTCTCTACTTACTCTCCACAGTCAGTATGATAGGCTGGCTGGTTTTGTTCTCTCTACTTACTCTCCACAGTCAGTATGATAGGCAGGCTGGTTTTGTTCTCTCTACTTACTCTCCACAGTCAGTATGATAGGCTGGCTGGTTTTGTTCTCTCTACTTACTCTCCACAGTCAGTATGATAGGCAGGCTGGTTTTGTTCTCTCTACTTACTCTCCACAGTCAGTATGATAGGCTGGCTGGTTTTGTTCTCTCTACTTACTCTCCACAGTCAGTATGATAGGCTGGCTGGTTTTGTTCTCTCTAATTACTCTCCACAGTCAGTATGATAGGCTGGCTGGTTTTGTTCTCTATACATACTCTCCACAGTCAGTATGATAGGCTGGCTGGTTTTGTTCTCTCTACTTACTCTCCACAGTCAGTATGATAGGCTGGCTGGTTTTGTTCTCTCTACTTACTCTCCACCGTCAGTATGATAGGCTGGCTGGTTTTGTTCTCTCTACTTACTCTCCAC